CTGTGCTGAGGATTCCAGGGCTGGAGCAGCTCTGCAGGGGGGTCTCACAAGGGCAGAGCAGGGGGGCTGCACCAATTCCCTGTGGGCAAACAGCCCTCAGTGACTAAAGCTGGGAAAACACCAGGGCTCCTGTGTCTGCAGGTGTTCTCCAACCCCAGGGATGAGGATATCCATCCACCTGAATTCCTTTTGGTTTCCTGGGAAGGCCGTTGGGGGTGGCTTTACCCTGGACCTCAGTGGGGCTACAGACTTAAAGCTGACAACAGCTGCCATCCATTCAGCCCCAACCCATCTTCTCTTGGCAGAAATGTGGGTTTGGTGCCTCCCATCACTCCATAGCGTGTTTGTTTTCCCTGCAGTTCAAGGTGGATGGCGAGTGGTTCACCTGGATCGACTACGAGCGCTTCCAGGAGCTGGTGCGGGAGCGCGAGCGGAGCGGCGGCTCCAGGACCTTCACAGCGGCCGATTACACGGCCAGGACTCCTCCCTGGGCTCTCTTTGGGGCCAGGGAGCGGGGCTTTGACCCCCTGGATGTCAGATTCCAGCGGAGGAACAAGGCCCGGGACGTCTCTGGCTGCTGAGCTTTGGGGCTCCGTTTCCGGCTGACGCGGATTTTGGATCTCCCCGTCGATGTTATTCCCACGTTTGCTGTTGAGCAGGAGGGTCAAGCCTCGAGTTCACCCTTCCCTCCTGGGTTTTAGGGCTTCCTGGATGAAAATATTTATAACATTCTCTCTCCCAAATCAGAAATGGTCCATGGCAGTGGTTTCTCAGCAGCCTGGTGGGGAGGCAGCGGCCGTGGCCGTGTTTGGAGTTGGATGTGCTTTGGAGTTGGATGTGGAGCAGTTGGATGTGCTTTGGAGTTGGATGTGGAGCGGGAGCATTCCTTGGATTCCAGTGCCCTCTGTGAGGAGAGCCTGGCACATCTGGCCCCCAGCTTGGCAGCAAAACATTCCACATCCACGAGGAAAAGTGCCACAGGGATTTCAACCCCACGAGCTTGTTGGATCAGGGCAGGTGGGACCTGGATCAAAGAACCTGATCCCTGCTGGGAATATCATTTTATGGACTTAGTTCAGGTTTATGTATTTAATTCCTGTAAAAACCTCATCTCATCCAAGAAACTTGGGAATAATGTGAGTAACAGCCCCCCTATTGATACCAGCTGTGACTTCTGATACCTCTCCAAGTATCTTCCAACATCCTGGGTTTGGGAATGGATGTTTCTGAGCAGTGTTATCCCACTCCCAGCAGCCCTGAACAACATGTACAATCTCTCAAAGCCCTGGCTGTGTGTGCCCAGTGTCCATGGGAGCTGGACATCAGGGATGGAGCTCCCCCTGCTCCCCTGGGAAGCTCCACAGCCTCACTGCTGCTCTGGGTGGGGAGAACGGGGTGGAGAAGGAAACTGGACCCAGTCAAGGTCTCTGGGGTCAAGAAACCACCTCCTCTCCTTTGGAGAGGTGACATCCAGGCACAAGGTCAGGGGTTGCTCTGGGATACCCTGGGCACTCTGGAGGTGCTGGAGCCTGGCTGGAAAATGGCTTTGAAATTAGGAGAGAATTCCCTTTCCCTCTTTGCTGCATCCCCAGGGGTTGGAGGCTCTGTGTGCAAACCCCCTGGCACATTCCCAGGCCTTCAGTTCCCAGGTGGCTGAACCAGGCAAGGCTCTGCCCCTTCCCAAGTGGCTCCCACCCCTCTTCCATGGCTCCCACCCGTGGGCAGCCCCTCCTCCCTCAGGGCTCCAGGCCCTCCCTGGTGCTGCTCCAGCCAAACCCTTCCTAGGAATGGATGGAACCAGCAGCAGGAACAGCTTTAATTCACACCCAGGGCTGGAGGTGGGACCACACCTCAGTCCTGCTCAGGGGGGTTTGTTTCCCTGTGGAACTCCAGCAGCTTGGATCAAAGGTGTTCCCAGCACTCCCACCCTAAACCTTCTCATCCCACAGAGCTGTGGATGCTGAGGGTCCCTGGGATGGTGATTTTCTTTCTCTTTTAAAAGCAAGCCCGTTTCTCAAGCTGTAAAAAGTGTTTCTAAAGAAAAAAAGGAAATAAAAGTACTTTTGCCTAGAGCACCTTTGGTGTGTGGCTGCTGTGCCAGGCTCTGTGAGAGGGGATGGTAAACTGATTTTAAGGAGATCAAAAGCACAAATGTTGTGTAATATCTCTTTTCTTTATAGGACGTGGAGGGCAAGGGGGAGCAGTGGTGTGTCTGGGTGAGGGATGCCCTTCCTGGGGCAGAAAATTTCAGAAAATCATGGAATCCCAGGATGGTTTGGGTTGGAAGACGCGGGATGCAGGAATTGAAATCTCTTAAGTACAGTTTTGCTTTCTGAGCTTCAGAAAAGATTAATAGACAGTAAAAATATATAAAAATGTGTGAGCCAGGCAACTGGTGGAATTGTACAATCCTGGGATGGTTTGGGTTGGAAGGGACATTAAATCTCATCTCATTCCCACCCCTTGCCATGGGCAGGGACACCTTCCACTGTCCCAGGTTGTTCCAAGCCCTGTCCAACCTGGCCTTGGACACTTCCAGGGATGGGGCAGCCACAGCTTCTCTGAGCAACCTGTGCCAGGGCCTCCCCACCCTTCCAGGGAAGGATTCTCCCTGATCCTCCCTGTGTCTCCACATTCCCTCCATCTTCCTTGATCCTCCCTGAGTCCTCACACTCCCTCAATCCTTATCCCATGTCCTCCCTGTTCTCCTTCCATTCTTCCCCTTGGTTTTGCCTGTGTCCTTATGCTCCCTCCATCCTCTCCCTGTGTCCCCATGTTCCCTTCATCCTCTCTGCTCCTCCCCATGTCCTCACATCCCCTCCTTCTGTCTCCCATGTGCTCCCTCCATCCCTCTCCTGATCCTCCCTGTGTCCTCACACTCCCTCCATCCTCTCCCTGCTCCTGCCCACTGTTTTCCAGGGCTCAGAGGGACGAGGTGTGTGACCTCCTGAGGTCAGTGCTCAGCATTCCCATGGGAATTGGCCCCTGAGCTGTCCTAGAAGAATGGTGCTTTCCCTGCCCTGGTACCAGGCAAGGTGGAACCAGGGCCACATCCCACCT